GGGGGGGGGGGGGGGGGGGGAGCATCCAGCTCCACAAAAGGCCTCCGCTGTTGGACTCTAGTATTGGCTAGGATGTCCGCACACTGGTTGCCTTCTCTGAGAGTGTGGATGATCGAAATATTATGCACAGTTCCATCAACCTTCTACCGCCGATGATAATGGCTCTGTTTGGATGCATTTCTTCTGCATTGACAATAAGAAGCTTTGCCGCTTCCTGTGAGTCATTTTCCACAATAACGTGTTCAATATGTCTTCTTTGAATAACTATAGCCCTTTCAAGATGAGTCATAACTCTGTGTTCCGGATTACCTTTAGAACAGCCATCTGTGTTCCTTTTGTTCCATCCTGCAGGAGGAAAAACCCAACCAATCTGTCTAGTACGAATCCTAACTAATTCAGCTTGTGATTCCTGGAAAGCATTACATGAGTCACGAACAAGTGTTGGCAACGGCCCGGCTCAGGACTACCGACCCACCGGTAATGACGCATGGGCAGGTCACAGATTGGGCAGCAAACCATTGCTTGGTCAACGGGCTGCCTTCATAAAAGTTCTATGACTGCGTCCAATGGGCCTATTTTTTTCAATAGGAAAATTGTATGTTTTTTGTTTTAAATTTGGGGTGATGGGTCGGGTCACCAGATCATCCAATTAGCCATGGCGGTCTTAGTCAGGTCAAATTTTTTTTTTTTTTGATCTAAAAGATAAGAAAATTCATTAAAGTTAGGAAAAGTTGATTACAGACACAAAAAAAGCCTTAAAAATGCGAGCTATTGTTGAAGCCTTAATTATATTCAATATAGATCTCTCTCGCAGGGCAATATCAAAATCAATCTTAACATTGCCTCTGCCTTCATAAGTAAATATCACTACAAATGTAAGCAAGCAATTGAATTGAATCTGACAAGAGAAGTAAGTAGCACTAACAGTTTATTTGAGTACTTGAATTATAAGGTGTGAAAAATCTAATCTAGTCGTATAGAGTTTGTGTCGTGTCATATTGAAATATATAAATTTTACGGTTAATCTCTGATGGTGCTCAAATATACTAGCCCAAGTTCGAAATCGTGATTGGTTAGTTCGGAGGGGGTTCAGAATAAATATACAAAATAGAAATGAATAGCACAGTACGGGAAGTCAAGAACATAATATAAGTGGTTCACCTTACCTGAGAGACTAAGACTATGTCCACTACAAAAGAGTCTCTTGCTCCTTGGGGTTATATACCACTCGATTTCTAGAGATTACAATGTTGTAGTTGGCTCGGAACCTTAACAAGAACAATATGCAGATAAGCTAGATTGTGTTGATGATTCGAGAGTGNGGAGTCTCTTGTTCCTTGGGGTTATATACCACTCGATTTCTAGAGATTACAATGTTGTAGTTGGTTCAGAACCTTAACAAGAACAATATGCAGATAAGCTAGATTGTGTTGATGATTCGAGAGTGNTTGACCATGGCCACCCTCCTCTCTACCGGCCGGTCACTTGGAATGAGTATCTTGGCACCAAGGCCAAGCATTTTGATAAGGCACTTTCGTCGGTCCGGCTTTGTTCTTCTCCTAATGGATTTTCCGATGTAAATGATCATAACAGAGTGAAAGTTGGCTAGAAAAGCTGTGGTGGTGGTCATGTTGATACTGTAAAAAATCATTTTGTTTTCAATGTTTATATGTTTCTATTTGTTGCCTTTGTTTGGGAGGTCTCTCACTCCTTGGAGGGTTGTGGAGAGTAATAAACAAGAGAAGGGGGGGGGGGGAG